CCGCTCTTCTCACTGGTCTGTCGTCTTTTGCTAGGTGACTTTAGTGCCATGTTTGCTATAACATGACACTAAGTAATTTGTTGGTTACTACAGTGGTCCCCAAACCTGACCAAAGGGCTAGACGGGCCCTAGGAATCTAATTTTACAGGTACCCTGGTGTGATTCTCATCCACTACTTTGGGGAGCCATGTTGATATCACTTTCTGTGAATGAATATATAACTTAAAAGTTTGATACTTCTCTAGAACAGATCTTTTGGGCTAAACTGCCAGTAGTTAGCAGGACTTCCTCAAAATGTTATCTAAATTCCATACGTTTTTTCAATTGTAATTTTTTTTTCTCATTGAATATCTATCAGCATTTGTTTTTATTCTAGAAGGTTTTATACTATTTGAAGGGCTCCTAAGGTTGCTTGGGTATTTCTGGAGGTATCAAGATAATTAAAGGACTCCTTTGAAAATTCTTACTTGATGGCTTAGAATTTATCTTGTTTTATTGAAGTCTCTTAGGTTATGAAACAACTGAAATTATGTTTTTGTCCAAGTATTGAATTCCTAAGAGTGGGATAGAAGTTTCCTTCATCATCTTCTTGAGTAAGATTAATGCAAGGATTTAGTATCCAGGGAGCAGGGAGCATATTTACTCACTGATGTATTCTTTACACTGGTTGGGCAGTAATTGTTTCCCTTCAGTATTCCTTTAATGTTAATCTCAAATTTGGATTACTGTCTTTTGGAGTAGAAATATTTTTAAATTTATGGTTCTACTTTTAATATAGATTTCAGATTCAAGAAGAAATGTTGAAATTGGGCAAAAATTTATGAATTTCATTTAATTTAAAAATAGCCTTTTAGACGTGGTGTATGCATCCTTATGTGTGGGAAAGTCTAAGGTGAATCAAGTGAAAGGGAGTTTTCCTTTACACGTTATACCCTATTTGAATTTCTCAATGATAATCTTTTGCTTTTAAACCTTAAAAATATTTAAATGTTTAAAAATAAAACTAAAGAAATAAAATAACACATTCATTATTGTCAGGTCTCCGGCAAGAATATGCAGCCACCGCGTCTCGGCGCAGTTCTGGTTCATCTTGCAATTCTACAAGACGGGGTACTTTTAGTGATCAGGAACTTGATGCACAAAGTTTAGAGGATGAAGATGACAATATGCATCACGCAGTATACCCTGCTGTTAACAGGTTTTCACCATCACCACGCAATTCACCTCGACCATCACCTAAGCAGTCACCCCGAAATTCACCTCGTTCTCGATCTCCTGCTCGGGGAATAGAATATAATAGAGTGTCCCCACAGCCTATGATTAGCCGCTTACAGCAACCTCGCCTTTCCCTTCAAGGCCATCCCACAGATTTACAGACAACCAGTGTTAAAAATGAAGGTAACTATAATGTCTGGAAAAGATTTGTCCTTCAGGGCTTCCCTGGGGGCGCAGTGGTTGAGAGTCTGCCTGCTGATGCTGCCGATGCAGGGGACGCGGGTTCGTGGCCCAGTCCGGGAAGATCCCACGTGCCGCAGAGCGGCTGGGCCCGTTGAGCCATGGCCGCTGAGCCTGCGCGTCTGGAGCCTGTGCTCTGCAATGGGAGAGGCCACAACAGTGAGAGGCCCCCGTACCGCAAAAAAAAAAAAAAAAAAAAAAAAATTGTCCTTCAAATTTCAGTATGAAAGTAACAGTTTTTACCAAGGTTCTGTATTTTAGAAAGTAGATCAAGAATTTAGACAGTTTATTGTTTTATTAATACTGAGTCAGGGACTTCCCTGGTGGCACAGTGGTTAAGAATCCGCCTGCCAATGGAGGGGACCTGGGTTTGTGCCCTGGTCTGGGAAGATCCCACATGCCATGGAGCAACTAAGCCCGTGCGCCACAACTACTGAGCCTGTGCTCTAGAGTCCCTGAGCCACAACTACTGAGCCTGCGAGCCACAGCTACTGAAGCCCGCGAGCCTAGGGCCCGTGCTCCATGACAGGAGGAGCCACCACAGTGAGAAGCCTGTGCACCACAAGGAAGAGTAGCGCCCGCTCGCCGCAACTAGAGAAATCCCACGTGCAGCAGCGAAGACCCAGCACAGCAGCGAAGACCCAACACAGCCAAAAACAAATACAATAAAATAAATAAATTTATTTTAAAAAATACTGAGTCAATGCAAAAATAAAGGAAGAAGTGAATTTAATTTTACTTGATTATGTTAGTTTTGCTTTGTTATACTCATGAAGTGATCTGTCTATAGATTTTTTTTTTTTAATTTATTTTTGGCTGCATTGGATCTTTGTTGTTCTGCGCGGGCTTTCTCTAGTTGTGGCGAGCGGGGGCTGCTCTTCGTTGCAGTGTGCGTGCTCATTGTGGTGGCTTCTCTTGTTGCGGAGCACGGGTTCTAGGCACGCGGGCCTCAGTACTTGCAGCATATGGGCTCAGTAGTTGTGGCTCGAGGGCTCTAGAGCACAGACTCAGTAGTTGTGGCACACGGGCTTAGTTGTTCTGTGGCATGTGGGATCTTCCCGGACCAGGGAATCAAACCCATGTCTCCTGCATTGGCAGGCAGATTCTTAACCACTGAGCCACCAGGGAAGTCCCTGTGTATAGATTTTGATTTAAGTAATTTATGGTTCTTTTTAACAGTTCTACCCATTTATAGAAACTGTATTATTTATTTTTATAAGACATGTACTTCCTGTTAGCTCTTCTAAAATATGCATAACACTTAAAGAATTTTATTTTTTTTAATTAATTTATTTTATTTTATTTTTATTTTTGGCTGTGTTGGGTCTGTTGCTGTAGGCGGGCTTTCTCTAGTTGCGGCAAGCATGGGCTACTCTTTGTTGTGCTGCTCAGGCTTCTCATTGCGGTGGCTTCTCGTTGCAGAGCACGGGCTCTAGGTGTATGGGCTCAGTAGTTGTGTCTTGCAGGCTCTAGAGCACAGGCTCAGTAGTTGTGGGGCACAGGCTTAGTTGCTCCATGGCATGTGGGATCTTCCCAGACCAGGGCTCAAACCTGTGTTCCCTGCATTGGCAGGTGAATTCTTAACCACTGCACCACAGGGAGGCCCAAGAATTTGATTTTTGAATGTTAATTAACATTTTAATTTTCTCCATCAGAAAGAATGTTTTGATTTTTTCTTTTAATTAAATTTCTGTTGTCATAGAAAAACTAAGACGCAGTCTTCCCAACCTATCCCGAACATCCAATACACAAGTTGACTCAGTGAAAAGCAGCAGAAGTGACTCAAATTTTCAAGTGCCAAATGGAGGAATACCTCGCATGCAACCTCAGGCTTCAGCCAGTAAGTATCTTTTATGTATCAGTTATTTAAAGATAAATGAAAATTATAGATTTTAATTTTGTGCTGAATAGCTGTATTAACCTATAGTAAAATGTAGTGATTATCAATTGCTATAAGATGATCATAGCTATATTAAAATTTAAAATTTGTCCCTATAAAATACCCAATTGTATCAATACTTAAATCTTTATGGAACTGTGGTCTCTCTAGAATTCTAAAATAAGCAAGTTCTAGCTGTTTAATATATAAATATATATGCCTTAAAAATCTTATATTCTGCAGTACTGCACATTAAAAATGACAGGATTTTGGGGGGAAATAGTCCTGAAGCAGACCACTTAAAACCCAAGGAGCTTTCTTACTAGAACATTAATAAAAACAATAATGATCCCATGAAAATAATAGCACAATTAAAGGCACGTTAAATTCTTAATAAATAAAATAAATACTCCAGCAAATGTAGAATTTCATGTTTTAAAAAAAGTTGAAGGTAACCTGATGGAAAGGAACATTGAGACTGTTGAATTAAGGAGACATATGCACCATAAACAAAGATCAGATAATCATGCAAAAGGAACTTCTAAGGCAAAGTGGCCAAACTGAGCCAAGAAGTGATATGGGAGTAGATGGCACTCTGTACTTTACAGAGACTAAAACAGAATTGAACACTTTCCAAAAGGTATTGCGTATTAAGTAGGGTAGATACAAGCATGCAGTCAAACCAGTTTTAAACAACTATCAGAGTTATTTCTACAATCTTAGAAATGCTCAATATGCATGCCTTCTATCCCACAGTTCACATGAGTTTTGTAGTTTGATTCATTCAGTTCCTTTGTAGCATGTTTACTGTCAGTGGTTGAAGTGGTCACTGTGATGTGTTCCTTCATTTCCACAAAGCTGTGACAAAGAAGTGATACAAACATGAGGTTATTGACTGTCCATTTATAACTTGTGTATTGAGTAACACAACTTTGAAAGCATTCAACTCTTTTAAAATCCCCTTGCACTCTTCCTTGGCTCTATTATGTTTAGCTGACTTTGTGTAGTTTGTATTAAGCTGCTGTTACTTGGTGGCTCAAAAATCCAGTCCAGAAAAAAATACATTTGAACCAAAATGACTTTTGTGATATATTGATAAATTTTCCCTATTTACAAATTGCATATGATATTATTTATATTATAGAACTCACATTGTATGGTACCAAATATTCATAATTCTGTTTAATCCTCTGAACAATTCTATGAAGTAGGTTCAATTACTAACATATTTTACAAATTAGGAAATTGAAGCTTTAAAAGGTTGCATAAGTTATCTATGATCATACCATACAGCTTATAAGTAGCAAGTTAGGATTCATACCCATGTTGATCCTGATTGAAAGCCAAAGCCCATTTAGAGAGATTTGTCACATCAGTGGTTTAGTACTAAGACATAAAAATTATCCAGAAATATTATTTCTTTTTTTTTCTAAGATAAACTCTAAAATTTAAGGCGTTGTAGAAAACTGATGCCTAGAGATTTGGGTACCTCAGTTTTTTAGATGGAGGTGTGCAAAAACATGTTTTTATATCACATTAAATTTTAAACACACAGACCATGTGAACTGTGTGTTTAAGATTGCCGTTATGGTACTCATATGATACTCATAAATGGTGTAGAAAGTAGAGATTCACAAAATTTTAAAAATGAAAGTAAAGATAAAGTTTGAACTCTAAGTTATTGCTGAAGTGGTGAGTGATAGGTTTTGTGCCTTTAAACCTGCAAATTAAGTTAATTTGATGTAATAATATCCTGTTTCTGGGCTTCCCTGGTGGCGCAGTGGTTGAGAGTCCTCCTGCCGATGCAGGGGACACGGGTTCGTGCTCTGGTCCGGGAAGATCCCACATGCCGCGGAGCGGCTGGGTCCGTGGGCCATGGCCGCTGAGCCTGCACGTCTGGAGCCTGTGCTCCGCAGCAGGAGAGGCCATGGTAGTGAGAGGCCCGCGTACCACAAAAAAAAAATAATAATAAATAAATAATAATATCCTGTTTCTGGGGTTTTTTTCCCCCTTGGGAAGAGCAATCCACAGTGTTAATACAACAGGAAAGAAACTTTTATATCGTTAAGAATATTAAGTAACAAAACTCATGTATATTATAAGCTACACTTTACAGTCTATGCACAGATAATCCAAAACACCATTTTCACTCGGCTTTCAGAGGTGCTTTAATACTTAGTTTGAAATGGTTAAATTCTGAATTTCTCAAATCTTTCCATGACATATTTTCAGACAGCTTCCCAGCTCCTTGATGAAACCAGCTATATCTATATCCTTTTTACCTCATTCCATTATTGTCAGTACCAACTCTTTACTCAGATTTGTTCCCTCATGCCCTCATACATGCTGTTATTTACTTAAACTATTCTAGCATCTTAAAGCTCTATGGAAATGAAAAATAACTCTTTACAAAAAGAGAAGGAACAATAAAAGATTGAGAACCTAGGATAAAAATGTTAATAAAAGAAGAATATATTGACCATATCTTAAACTTTATGATAACTACTCACCTTCTCTAGTGGTAGAATTACCATTGTATAATCAGCTGCTGATTCCCTAGAATTTTCTTTTTCCTGTAGGTAAATTATTTTTTCCTTTTTCCCCAGAAGTTGATAATTAAGGAAAATACGTAAAGAAACATAATGAGATTCTAATCACTAATTTACTTTTAAGTGGGATATATGTATACTGTTTGATAGTCATGTATTTCAATATTTGAATAATGTATAGGCAGAAGAAAAAGTAAGGTACCATCCTTTTTAAAGAATTGCATATACTTGTCTATTTTTATATATGTAGCTGTAGCGAAGCTTATTTTTGATGAAAATGTCACAAATATTTATTTTAGTATAGAATCACACTACTCACAAAAACGTATTTGGAAAGTAGTAAATCCAGAATATTGGCAGGTTTAAAATTTAATAAAGTTTATTTTATAAAAATATTTAAAACTTGAGAGTTCCTTGGAGGTCCAGTAGTTAGGACTTGGGCTTTCACTGCCGTGGCCCCTGGTTCAGTCCCTGGTTGGGGAAGTAAGATAATGGAAGCCGTGCGGCACGGCCAAAAAAAAGAAAAAAAATTTAAAACGTTTTGTTTAAAGTTAATACATTATGAAGCAAAATAAAATGTTACCTATTTTTCTGAAAATTTTACATATATCTTTGATACATAATATATATGTGTGTATATAGGTATACTGTTTTCATAATAGCCTTTTTATTTTGATATATAATTATGTACAGATATTACAATGGCAAGTTTTATATATGAATTAGCATTTTAAATATTTTATATAAACCAAATTTATATATTTGCTGCATTTTATTTTCTTTTAAGTATTTTTCCAGCTCTTAAGTGGTAAAGCTTTGGTTCTTACTTGCTGGTCTGCATGAACCTAACTTTGCAAGGTTGCTTTATTTCCACCTAAGGGACCACTTCTTTTGCCTTGTTACTATGCCAGTCACTATTTTTATATGCTTATTTGCTATGGCTGCATTATTGTGGATGTTGGCATTCAAATATGAATATTATGAGAGTTCTAATATGTTTTCATTTTGATAGCTATTACCAATTCTTGACTTTTATATTTGGAAAATGTGAGTAACTTAAAAAGTTTAAGAAAACCAGAGCATTGCAGAGGTCATGGATACATGTAATTTTCTCAGATTCTCCAGTTAAAGGAAGGAATGTTTCTCATGGACAGTTTTTCAAAAGACTAGTTAGTGCTTGCTTTCTAAAACCACTAGAGCACAGGTTTAATAGAAAGTTTAATTTTCAGAAAAATATAGGAATTACTGGTTCAGAAATAAGAGAAGAGAGAAAAACCCAAGGCAATCTGTTGGTTTTATAAAAAGTAGTATGAGTTTACTTTCACATGTATTGTCCCATTTGAACCTCACAACATCTCATTTTTCATTTTTATAGAGAGGGAGCAGAGATCCATATAAATTATATGTACAATGTCAAGTAACTAGAAAAGTGGCAAAACCGAGCCAAATTACTCCCTCTTCTCAACTCCTCCATGAGTCTCCTGATTTCCTCCCAATCATTGTTTGGATTACATCATGCTGACCTAATTTCAAATGAGGAGGCATCTTGGAAAATATTCTTGGATGACTCTACTGGAGCATGATTTGAGACTGAACTATAAATACTTTGTGAATTACCACAAAAGAGTAAAATAAGTCATTGTAACATTTATCCACTTGCTTGCTTACATTTAACTAAATGGAAGAATATATTTGAATAGGATACAGAATATACTCCCAAAGAAGAGATGTATAGGATCAGTATTGTACTCTGGGCCTCACTGAAGAGGAAGTGTCCAGGGCAGTTGTCAGCTTATACATAGGCCAGACTGCACTTAGGCCCATGGGGAAGGAATTCTCATCCAGATTTCACTTGTAACCAAAACACTAAAAGGTTACACTCAAATTTTATATAATTATGAAACATAAATTGAAATAAATAAGTCATGATAAATCTGTGTAATTGGCTAATGTACAAATGAGTGAGATACTTATAGAACTCCTGTTTAAGGATAAGTAGTGTAATGATGTTGTCAGTTATCACAAAGAGATATTATAAATGTAGTTTTTCTGACCTTTACTTCTGGAAATGTTGATTGAATACATCTGGGATGGGGACCCAGAATCTATTTTTTAGACGTGTCTTAGCTGACTCAGGCATATTTAAGTTTGAGAACCACTCAATTGGACCTCAGCTGGGGAGGATCTCGAATATTTAGTTTGAATCTCTGGATTTATCCAGTACTCAGTCACTTATGTGTTTCTTAATTATTCAACAGATATTTATTGGGTGTATATGTTCCAAGCACTGGGAATATAAATGTGAAAGAGACAGCTCATGCCCTCCAAAAGAGGAAGTGATAGGCAGGAAGTGATGTGGGAACAGGAGAGGCTTTACACAGCAGTATGAAGAGGTTTTCAGGAAAGGTATTG